AATACATATACTCCTTAGGGTTTTGTTATGTCTACAAATATTTGAAAGGAAATTATAAGAAAGGGAAGAGCTAGAAAAAAAATAAACAAACCCAACAGAGACCCTAACCTTTAGGTTTGGGCCATTTGGGTGAACAGCAATTTTTCATGACCAAAATGAACTATCATGTCAGGCAACATTACCCCTCTGCTGACGGCCAATTTCATCTATGATGTACAGCGCAGATTCGCCTGATAGGGCAGGCTGCCGCCTCAAGTCCTCTCTCACTGCTGAGAGGACTGAACGACAGTGCAATCGGTCAGCACCCTGCCCAGGGGGTAAGGCTCCTTTAAAATGGGAGGCTAACTATTCATCTCTCATCATCACTTCTAAACCCCATTCAGGGTGGATTTTCTAGAAGTCTGTGTAATCATGAAACAATCTCCAGAGATCGTGTTGTAATCTCTTTCCTGAGTTATGGGTCCATTTCAATGATCTCAGGGGCCTCCCCATCCTCCCGGTCCTTTGTGTCGCTGGTAGGAGTGGCTGCCAAGGCCCAGCAAAAAGATGAGCATTTCCAGCTTTCACACCTGCTCGTGACTCCATTTCTTTACAGACCTGAACCCAGGAAAAGGGAGCAATTTTCTGTCTGTAGTGAGGCCTCAACAGGTGCCCCAGAAATATTAGTGTAAAGGTAGGTGTAACTAGAAATTACAAACTCAAAACTTCATTTTCCCTTGACATGCATTCTTACAGAGGAAAGTTAGAGAGAGGGGGCCAAGGGAAGTGGAGGGTTATGCTACCAGCCCCTGAACATGAACATGGTACTCCTCCTCCTAAGGGTCAAGGAGAACCTGCAAATAACACAAAAGATAAACTATGAGGTTTATTCTTTTATCAATTAAAAAACCACTCTTGCCTGGCCAGTGTTGCTCAGTGGTTGAATGTTGACCTATGAACCAGGAGGTCATGGGTCAATTCCCAGTCAGGGCACATGCCCGGGTTGTGGGCTCGATCCCTAGTGGGGGAGGGGCGTCATCCAGGAGGCTGCGAATCAATGATTTTCTCTCATCACTGATGTTTCTATTTCTCTCCCCCTTTCCCTTCCTCTCTGAAATCATTACAAGTATATATATTTTTTAAAACACCACTTCTTCTGAGCCTTAACTTGTGCACTGCAGCTCAGAGAGACTTAAAATCTTTTCCTGCCTGGCCACTGTGACTCAGTAGTTGAGCGTCAACCTATGAACCAGGAGGTCATAGTTCAATTCCTGGTCGGGGCACATGCCTGGGTTACAGGCTCGATCCCTAGTGGGGGTCATGTAGGAGGCAGCCAATCGGTGATTCTCTCTCATCAATGATGTTTCTATCTCTCTCTCCCTCTCCCTTTCTCTCTGAAATCAATATATATATATATATATATATGTGTGTGTGTGTATGTATGTATGTGTGTGTGTGTGTGTATATATATATATTTTAATCCCTTCCTTAATCCAGTTACTTAATGTGGAGTGGCCACTGTGTAAAAAGAAAATGAAAGAAAGAAAGAAAAGAAGGCCTAGGTGTTGCTAAGTATAATTGGTAGACCAGAAAACCCTTCAAGGAACTAAAACAAATGTGAGGGGGAGGGGAGTCTGCGGCCATGAATGGCAAAGGAAGCCAGGATCAAAGTTGAGGTCACTCCCTGTGAAGACCATGTGTGTTATTTCATCACATGTCCTTGTGAGCCTTTCCCTTGGAACCAATCTCTCCCAGGGGCCACCCCAGAGCCTCCCCCTCGGAGTAACCTTCATTATTGCTCTCTTGCCCACGTGTAACTGAGAGGGAGGAGAGCGTTTCAACAACCTGGGACTCCACTAACCAAGAGTGACAGAGGTCTCGGCAGACCTGCTCTCTCAGCTCCGTGGTTTGTATAAAACTGAGGGTCTTGGACAAAAAACTAAGTAATAAGTTAATTAATTAAAACAATAAAGGATAAGAACAACCAGCCTTAAAGTGAAATACAGTCAACTGTCTAAATTGCCCCTTGTGACTGTCAGTGGGCTGGCATTTATGGACAGGGAGCCAGGAGCCTGTGGCCAGCGTGCCTGCCCAGAAGTCCTGGTTTTCTATGATGCCAGCAGACACTGGAGAGGCCCTTTAGAAGAATGAGCTTCCCAAGAAATGCATTAGTGCGAGCATTCACCCCAAGGAGGCAGAGGCAAGGGCTAGACGGATACCAGGCACTTGTGGAATGGCCCCAAATCATGCTGAGCCCTGACCCATTTATTCAGTAAATTACTTTCACAACTAGGTCAAATGTTAACAGAGCCTTCCAACCATTTTCTGGCCCCCTGGCTGGAGAGAGACCCTTTGCTAACCTTGCCATTAAAACTGGGCAACCTATGATATTCAATGAAGTAATTAAGGACAAATCCAAGCAATTACTTGACATTTCCTGCAATAACTAGATGACATTTGTAATCCCAAAAAGCAAACTGGACCAAAAAAAAATGTGTTTTGTTCAAAGGCGTAAATAAGTCTAGCATCCTATGTAACAAAGAGGCAATGTGCAAATTCACCCTCATGCCATAACGCCGTCACAAGATGGCGGTGCGTACAGCAGGGGTGGGGCCAACGGTAGTGGAGCCAGGGTTCCTGTGGCCTCGCGGGGGTGCGGGGGTCCCGGCTGCTTTGTGCGACTTCTGTCGGGGTTTCTGCAGCCTCGTGTGTGTGTGCTGCAGGAGTGGGGCCCGCGGCTAATGCTGCGTGCAACCCGGAGGCGGGGCATCAGGGTGGCACTCCAGGACTCAGGGCCATCCCATGGCAAGTCGGCCATGTGGGGCGGGACTCCGGGACTCAGGGCAGTCCCATGGCGTGGGAGGCGGGGTCCCGGGTCTTGTGCGATTTTGCACAAGGGGTCACTAGTCTATAATAAGTGACTATGGGAAACCAGGATGTTGGGTACTAGCCACCCCCTTTCTAATAGCAGCAGCAGATATGGCAACAGTCACTGAGCCCTTCCCTTACCTGTGTCTCAGCTCTTTTGCCTACAGGAGTGAACTATAAGATGAGCCAAAATGGCAGCTCTGAGCCCGGACAAGACTATGGTGAAGTCAACGGAGGCGCCTAGAGAGCAAAACTGAAGCGGCATGGACTCCCTGGATGTGCATGTCCCCACCCTGAGGATCTTATCTTAGGTCTAAAATTGTTTGCTTCCTGAAGGGATTCTTTGCCTCCTTGAGGGATTTGCAAAAGAATTCTTTAGTAGTTAATTTCCAATTCTTTTGTGCACAGATCTTACAGAGCACTCCTACTGGGCAAAGTGAATTACACCAAAATTCAAACATACTGGAAGGGAAAGAAAAACAAGAGGCCAGCAAGGTCACCTGGAGGACAATCCGAAACAACAGGGTGCTAAGGGATCTTTCCCAAGGAAGACTCCAGGCCAGCGTGGGGGTATGGAGCATAGTAAAGAAGAGTAAGGAAATGTAGAATAAGCATCTATCTACCCATGCGCACCAAGTATAGGAATAAGGTAAGGGTGAAAGCTAACATTGGTTAGCATCTACTATGTGCCAGATGCTTTAAATGCCTTAGCTTGTTTAGTCTTCACAACAACTCTTGGAAATGGGTATTATATTATTATCATTTAAGAGACAAGAAATGGAAACTGAGAGCAATTTAGTTCATTGCCCCAGATCTTAGAGCTGGTAATTGCTGACAATGGCCCACGCTATTATCCTGAGTCTGTTCTCTTACTGAACAGTCCCACATACACAAATGTCATTCTCAGCAATAAAATAATCACTATCTACCAGCATGTCCCAAGTTAGTAAGGAAGCACTTTAGACATAACCCTTGATGCATTTGTCCAGCCTCAGTGACATACTTTCTCATCTCACATAGCATCACAGCCTGACAATATTTTCAAGAGGTCATCCTCTCAGATGAAGAAACTGAAGTGCCAATTGCGGCTTCAGTGAGGGGCAGAGACAGGAAGGTGGCCCAAGCCCTCTGAAGCTGACCAAGCCACGGCGCCTCCCCAGGACCTATCATCACCCCTGAAGGGCTTAATACACCACTGACCTCCACATGCCCGTGAAACTGAACATGGTGCTGACACAGCGAGGGAGAGGCGGCGGCGTGAGTCCATCCAGGCGCATGAGCAGAGCTGGGATGCCAAAGAGCACCAGGTACTTCACGTAGAAAAACAGCACCTGGGCCAAGGCCAGTCCTCCTGGAAGACAGAGGGACCAGTGAGACACGGCGACAGGAAGTGGAGCCATCTCCTGGCAAAGATGTAACATGCCAGGAGATGCGCCTCCTGCTCACCTTCCGCCACCCACCCCCTTCTTCCCTTCAGCACCCACATTGATAAAGTCTCCCACATGGATTTTGATCGGGGAAACTTTTGGATTAACAAATGAGGTGGGGACCCAGCCAGCACGGCTCAGTGGTTGAGCATCAACCAATGAACCACACAGTCACGGTTCGATTCCTGGTCAGGGTACATGTCTGGGTTATGAGTTGGATCCCCAGTGTGGGGCGTGCAGGAGACAGCTCATCAGTGATTCTCATCACGATGTTTCTAGCTCTCTCTCCCCCTCTCTCCCTCTCCAAAATCAATAAAAATATATATTTTAAAAATCAGCCGATAAAGAGTGATCAATTCACAGAAATTAAACACTCACACCTGATGATAACCTGGATAGATGTTAAATATACTCACTGTGCTAACCTCTACATCAACTAAAATTCAGCGTAGAAACAAACTATGCCACCAAGCAAGACAATGTGAGTGTTGGGCCAACAACTTTGAATCATGCTGTTAGTCATCTTCATTTGACACTGACGTAACAGTTCAGAGAGTCTCAATTACTTCCCAAGAAATGTTCAAGGGCTATCCCATGTGATCTATCTATCTATCTATCATCTTGCTATTCTCTTAGAGCTAAAATTCCACAATGCAGCCAACTCTTGGAAAAAGTAATTGGAAGAGTTGAATGATTTAAGCATCAAATTAATCCATAAACATCTGCTTAGGAAGGGACCACTTAAAATGAAAAGCCCATCAAAG